TGTGTTTAGCAGCACACTGGCTCAGGGTTCAGATAATAGGCTGCAGCAGGGACTACCATGCATTGTGCAGTTCTCAAGAAGAGCGGTCGAATTGGGGAGCTGCCTTAAAGGACGAATTCACGATGAAAAAGCAACCCATTTCAAATTAACCTAGGGATGGTGAGTGGTACACGAAAGAAGGAAGAACCATGAGAAACGGCCCAGAACCCGAGAAATGGGACCCCTTCCTTGCCCGTTGATTTGAGCATTGATGCGACTCTCATCGCTGTGCCCTCTTCAACACTACGCTCTCTCTGCTATCTAATCACTCGCCACGTATAGACTGCGGCGAGTGATCAGATGGTCGGTGGGCGGAGATCGCCGGACCCGCCAACTTTGAGGCATAATAGGTCGCCGAGGTCAAATTTTTCATGCGAATTGCGCGTCAGTTCGCACCCTCAGGAGGTCCGTGGGTCCCTCAACTAGGTCAATTACTTTTCTTCGACCTTCATTCTAATCGTGAATTCCTCCTTTAAAGGAGGAAGGTGGTAAAATTTTGGAATCAGAACAAGGGAAGGTTAACCCTGATCTGAAACTTTAACCTCTGAACGTTTAACTTATAAAATCGTTTTGAAGAAACCTCCTAGAAAATCCTTACAAGACATGTGACACTTTCAGAAATTTTTTCTTCTAATGTATTTCATGAGTAGGACCCCATTCGGTCAAATGCAACTCCCATGTTTACTTCAGCGCACGTAGGGTTAAAAATGCCTCATAGTCGCTAAGCTATGTGCAAGGAGATCGAATATAGCGCTTAATTATCAGATTCCGTCACGCTTAGCAACGCCATTCAGTTCAATAGTATCCTGTACAAGTGCACATATCATTAAAAGTGATGTCATAACTCTTAACCACAAAGTGCACGTACGTACAGCTCATGCGAAGGTGGCGAAGGTACTTCAATTCCCAGGGAAGTGTTAAGAATAAATACGCGTTAAAGTTGTGGTATAGGCCCGGTATTCTCTTTCAGCGTCCGCGTGCCCTTCCTATGAACCTTGCACAGCGCTTACGAACATCTTTGATCTCTCAAGAACTTTCAAAGAGCTACTTCAACACAATTATATTTCCTGGTTTCTCCTCAAAAGTAGTGAAAAAGTGAGAATGACAGAGTTGTTGACGCGGCTCATTTCGTATGTGACTCAAAGGTGTGGATCGGGATCGAATAGCTGAAAGATTTTGTTTGGAAGTTGGATAAAAAGTGCAACGAGAAACGATAAAGCAAGCAAGAAGCATCATAGAAAACACTGGTATTTTCCTCGTGAGGTAGGCCATGGTATAACGGAGAGGCCTAGAGCAGCGAGGAGGGGGAAAACGACAAGAGCAGTCGTACGCGTTAGGGCACAGAAGTCGCGTGTTGATAAGGATTATTTGTTGCGGCACGCTTTTTCGCGCACAACACAGTTCTTATGGAACTATAACTACGATATGGTGTGTGAAATCTCGAATTCGACCCGATAAACTTCGACGTCTGAGCATATACTATCCGCTGATCCCATATCCCGTCCACACTAGGCTTCTGACCCTCCCTCCTTCGTCAACTACTGTCCGCCTTTTCCCGGTCTCCGGACTGCCCCCAAACCGATTTATAGATTCCGTGGAAAACTCCATCAATTTCTTTGTATGGCCCTACTATCTTTCCTTCCTCTCCATCCCTCCCTATTGTCTCCCCAGTTGTGATAAACTCAAAAAGCTGCACGCATTTAATTTTGTCTATGAAACAATTTAATTTAATTGCCCGCCAATCTCCGCTTTTTTGGGCATGCTGTCACACACAAAGAAAATCAATTGGTTTCCATTTTCCTCTCCATTGGAATCTTAAAACCGACACTATAAGTCATGGGACGGTAGCAAAGTACCCTTAACTCGCAATCAGAAGTAACGATCGGAGATTCTAAGGAAAGAATAAAGAATGGAGAGTGCGATCCAGCCCAGATCAAGCAAGAGCTTCCTACTTTAGATTTCAGACGACAAAATATCAGGAAGCGAATGAACAAGAGAAAAAAAGGTTGCAAAAGTACCTGAAGATTATGGATCGCAGCTGCATTCTTTGATTCCTAACAGGTTGAGCTGGTCAGAGAAGAAAAAAGAGCACGGGATTGAAGGAGGCGCAGTCACCACGTCTGTTTGACACGTTTGACCCTCGAGTAAAAAGTACTCCGAAGGACTTTTTACTGGAGGGTCATACGTGTCAGACGTGGTGACTGCGCCTCTTCAATCCCGTGCTCTTTTTTCTTCTCTGACCAGCTCAACCTGTTAGGAATCAAAGAATGCAGCTGCGATCCATAATCTTCAGGTACTTTTGCAACCTTTTTTTTCTTATTTATTCGTTTCCTGATATTTTGTCGTCTGAAATCTAAAGTAGGAAGCTCTTGCTTGATCTGGGCTGGATCGCACTCTCCATTCTTTATTCTTTGCTTAGAATCTCCGATCGTTACTTCTGATTGCGAGTTAAGGGTACTTTGCTACCGTCCCTGGTAAAGAATACCGTCCAGTCTTATGTCACTTCCCGCCACCTGTAGCGTCCTGTCTTTCTTTCCTTCCGCCCTTTACTCTTTTCTCCGCTCCAGCACACTTGAATCGAATTAAACTTTTGTGGCCAACTCCGCCCAGCGAAGAGCGT